GCACCTTCTCCCAGGAGTTCACCTCAGTCCTGAACAAGCCACACTTACAGAAGGGAGCAACAGTAATGGGGCCACACCTCTGGAAGTCAGTAACAAGGCCACACCTACAATTCTGGCCATAATCCAGAAATTAGTATCAGCAGCAGGGTCACACCTACAACGCTGGCCACACTTTCAGGAGGCAGCGGCAGCAGCCAACCTAAAACACAGGCCACAACTATAGAGGAGGCACCAATAGTAGCAAGACCACATCTTCAACAATGGTTACACCTTCAGGAAGCAGCAGCAGCAGCTACACGTGTTGGATCAATAGCGAGAGGCCGCGCGGGGTGGTAGTGCCACACCTGCTGGCCACCTCCCTCAGTAGCACACGCGTGTGAGAGAGCAAACTTTAAACAATGTACAGCTCTTGAGTGTTACTATGTGACCACTGCTGTGACGGTGGTGGCTGAGTGTTACTGTGTGTATATAACACTACAATTTAGTTTGAGGATATTGGGTCCTCAGTATACACCATTACTTTTCATGACTATCCAGGAACCGTATACATTGTCACGATATGGACTGTGACACTGGGATGACAGCCATCTTGATTTACTTTCCTATGGTTATTTTTCCTGGGAATGACAATTATATAACACTAAATAATATTACACGAAATTAATGTCTAATGAAGAATTAATTACAGGTCTGGAGTATATCCGAGTTAGCAGAATGGAGAGCGAGTGTTACTTCCCGCCCAGATCATCTAGTGCAGGAAGACGACTTCACCGTCATGACCTGCGCGACCTCCAGACTCGAACAGTGTTTACACGACGTGAGGGGAGTCGTTTCCCTCATTACGCTGACATATGTAACATATACCAGTGTAGTGTCTGTCATGTTTCACTTCCCTGTAGGATAGGCAGGCCCGGGGTGCACACAGGGGCACAGAGAACACGTTCCCCTTCCCCGCTTTATTCAACTTCCTCCTTGATTTACATACACAGAGGTACAGGTTATATTTCTTATCAAATTTCTGGGTGTTCCCTCCACTCAAGACACTTCAAGAATTAAACCAAGCTAGACTAAGTTGTCCCTAATTGTACATGATAAAAGCACAAGATACACAAATATATAACATAAGCAAAAGGTCAAAGGGAAGCAGTCGATGGGGAAGCGGTGTAATTCTTGGGAAACTACTCGTGTAAAACAAACCCCACGTTCGTGTGTGCGTTGGGTGGTGTTGGCATTTCGGTCACGTATACTAAGATAAACAAGTTTGATTCGTACACCTATGATCATACACAACAAGACTATGCCAAATACTTCTTAAATAAGACCTAAAGTATGGGAGGACAGCGCAAGGCAGAGTAGGGCAAAATATAGCTTGATACAGGTCGTCCGGACTCGGGAGCCATGACTGAACGTGACGCCCACCACTTGAATATCCTTATCTATCTGGTAAATTATATGAAAATGAATGATATATAGAGTGATGGAAAAGCCCTGGACTAATTTATACCGAGCTGTAGTATAGTTGGGTACAAGCTAAACAATTAACAAAATCGCTTCTCTGGACCTTGTTTAATGTCCCTCCTCCATATCGTCATGGCGTCATCAATCAATTTATGAACAAGATGTGGGCAAGTTACATCATATTGTTTGAAAGTCTGTGCATACGAAGTCAACGACTCGAGTGTACTACCAATAGGTGCATCCCAGAGTGCTAAGCGAGCTGTGCAACGAGCTTGCGGAGCCCCTTAAGATCCTGTTCTGTAAATGCCTGGATGAGCAAAAGGTCCCCAGTGACTGGAAAATGGCTTATGTGAACCCTATTTTTAAGAAGTACGATCGTCACTCCACTAATAATTATAGACCAGTGAGCCTGACCAGCATATTGTGTCATGTACTAGAGAGCATTAAAAGAGATGCCATGATGGAACATCTACTTTGAAACAAGCTTGTAAAGGACTGCCAACACGGTTTTATGCAGGGACGCTCCTGCTTAACACACTTACTCAAGGTATTGGATGTTTGGACTCAAATTCTGGAACAGGGTGATAATATCGACAATATATCCCTAGATTTTGCCAGGGTTTCCCCGTCTAGAGTACTGTCACCCCATCTGGTCCAAGAGATATGCCAGAGACGGTCAGTTGATTGAATGTGTCCAAAGGAGGGCCACCAGACTGGTGTCTGCACTACGGCACCTCAGTTATCCAGAGAGATTAGAACGCCTGCAATTGCCTAGCTTATACTATAGGCAGGCAAGGAGCGACCTAATTGAAGTTTATAAACTTCTCAGAGGGCACTACTCAGTAGAGTGTCCATATTTGGAATTGGAGGATACCCGCCCCATAAGGGGTCACAGCTCAAGGTTGAGAAGCCGCAAGCTCAGAAAACTGTGAAGGCAAATTTATTCGGAGTGAGAATTGTGAACTCTTGGAACAATCTGCCAGAGAGTGTTGTGACGGTACTGAGTGTGAGCTCTTTCAAGACCAGACTTGACCAGCACTGGAGCAGGTTCGATGCATTCAGGAGCCAGTGCATGCCCTGTACTTGCCAACAGTGCGTAACAGAGACGCGACCGATCGTCCAAGCGGCAAAGGAGCCGATCAGTGGGGAAGAGGATAAAAGTAAAGTAAAATATCTACCCCGTGTAACACTGTTTACATATTCTTCCCCAGTCAATATACTGATTTTAGAATACAGCCTAGAAAACGATACTGAGCAAAAAAGAGACCAACGTCCTTATCCCAGGCTAAAGAGGCTGGCGTCTGCTCCTGGGACACGATCAATACTAATACGTGACTGCCTCCTGACTCACCACGTTGTTGCTAGGTTCTGCGTGACGCAGCGGCCACCCTTTCATAGCTGCCTTATCCCTGTCCTAGGATAGATAACAGCTCCATGTGGTAGTTTGGGTTTAGATAACTGCGCCACGTGGTAGTCTAAGACTATATAACAGTTCCACGTGGTAGTCTAGGGCTATATAACAGCTCCACGTGGTAGTCTAGGGCTATATAACAGCTCCACGTGGTAGTCTAGGGCTATATAACAGTTTCACGTGATAGTATAGGGCTATATAACAGTTTCACGTGGTAGTCTAGGGCTATATAGCAGTTCCACGTGGTAGTCTAGGGCTATATAACAGTTTCACGTGGTAGTATAAGGCTATATAACAGTTTCACGTGGTAGTATAGGGTTATATAAGTTCCACGTGGTAGTCTAGGGCTATATAACAGTTCCACGTGGTAGTCTAGGCTATATAGCAGTTTCATGTAGTCTAGGCTATATAGCAGTTTCACGTAGTCTACGGCTATATAACAGCCCACATGGTAGTTTAGGGCTATATAACAGTTCCACGTGGTAGTCTAGGGCTATATAACAGTTCCACGTGGTAGTTCAGGGCTATATAACAGCTCCACGTGGTAGTTCTAGGGCTATATAACAGCTCCAAGTGGTAGTCTAGGTTATATAAAAAGTTCCACGTGGTAGTCCAGGGCTATATACAGTTCCACGTGGTAGTTCCACGGTAGGGGCTATATATAAGTCTAGGCTATATAACCACGTGGGCTAGTCTAGGGCTATATAACAGCTCCACGTGGTAGTCTAGGCTATATAACAGTTCCACGCGGTGGTCTAGGCTATATAACAGTTCCACGTGGGTAGTCTAGGCTATACGTGGTAGTCTAGGCTATATAACAGTTCCACGTGGTAGTCTAGGCTATATAACAGCTCTAGGGCTACAGCTCCACGTGGTAGTCTAGGGTTATATAACAGTTCCACGTGGTAGTCCAGGGCTATATAAACAGTTCCACGGTAGTCTAGGCTATATAAGTTACGTGGCAGTTCAGGGCTATGGTAACAGTTCCACGTGGTAGCTCCATGGTTATATAAGTTCCACGTGGTAGTCTAGGGCTATATAAGTTCCACGTGGTAGTCTAGGGTTATATAACAGTTCCACGTGGTAGTCTAGGGCTATATAACAGTTCCACGCGGTGGTCTAGGGCTATATAACAGTTCCACGTGGTAGTCTAGGGCTATATAAGTTCCACGTGGTAGTCTAGGGCTATATAACAGTTCCACGTGGTAGTCTAGGGCTATATAAGTTCCACGTGGTAGTCTAGGGCTATATAACAGTTCCACGCGGTGGTCTAGGACTGTTACCGCAAGCAGTAATGAGTAGGATGACACATAAACAAACACCATGTTAGGCGGTAAGTCATGTCTTGTTTATTGGGTGCCGGCACCTCAGCTACCCTGAGAGATTGGAGCGCCTGAACTTGCCTAGCTTATACTACAGACGGAAAGGGGGGACCTAATTGAGGTGTATAAGCATCTCAAAGGGCACTACTCAGTCGAGTGTCCTTACTTGGAGCTGGCGACGCTCGCCTCACAAGGGGTCACAGCTCAAGATTGAAGAAGCCGCAAGTCCAGAAAACTGTGAGGGCAAACTTTTTCAGAGTGAGGGTTGTAAACTCTTGGAACAATCTACCAGAGAGTGTTGTGACGGCACCGAGTGTGACCTCTTTCAAGACCAGACTTGACCAACACTGGAGCGGGTTCAGATACATTCAGGAGCCAGTGCATGCCCAGTACTTGCCAACAGTGCGTAACAGAGACGTGACCGATCGTCCAAGCGGCTAACGAGCCGATCAGTGGTAAAGAGGATAAAAGTAAAAGTTAAGGTTCCCTCAATTAAATTTTATTACTGTACCCCCACCTTAAAACCTCCTGCATCTCACCGTATAGGATACCTCTGAAAAAACATATTTGGGAAACCTGCCAGAGGTCAGCACACTCTTGATCAATAAATAAGACGCGAGGAAAATGTTTATCACCCCCACCACAAGATAGTTTATGTTACAGGTGTACCACGAACAAATCTGTTTAACCATTTACTACTATTTTCATTTGAAAGTGACGATGAGAACGAAAAGACCCTAAAGAAAAATAAATATATCTTTATGTTATCTACTTATTCATATTATAATAAATCAACAAATCAATGGATATGTTCGTGAATTTAACCAACATTAGTCGTCTTGGGGTCGGAGTATAAACACCGTAAAGGGTAAACAGTCTTCAGCCGATAGTATCCTTATGTATTATTCACCTTTTCTCGCCCATAAAATTAATGCTATTAATAATGGGTCACCTGAAGATTCGCCCATCCCAGGAAGAATTCGGGGTGGGTAAACTTCAGGTGGATTAAACTGAGGGAGGTGGGGGGTAATCTTCAGGTGAGTATGTCTCCTGTCACCTTAAGACTCGCCCACTTAGGTAGCACTGGGGTGGTTAAAGTTCACGTGGAACAAAGGGGTGGTGGGCTAATCTTCAGGTGAGAGTAGTTATATGCTTTAAGTACGCCTCACCTTATATAGTTGATATTATATATTTCTAATGTATTTGCATGCATTGTACAATTCATGTCAGACCTTCATTTCCTGTGTAAATTCTTTAAAAATGAAAATTAACCGAATCCTGACTCCGTTAACCAGTAACTAAAGGAACTGGTATTATTATTTTTTTCGGTTATGCATCGAATTTTAGGATTTTAAGTTTGGTTAGGTTAAAAGGTATTATTGCGTTTACACACCGTTCATTCCTACCACTAATCTATTATCATAATCGAATAAGACGTCTAATTATAAGATAATTTTCATCTATTACATTACCGACGGAAATGTATAATAACGGAGATAGCTTTCCCCAAAAATTTCTATTTTCTTCCATTAACCTCCCGCCATTATCGTCTGCCTCTCACCCAACACTGCGTGTCTCTCGCGTCTCCTTCATAAATCATGATGCGCATGCATACCCGTCACACGGCCAATCAAAAGCGTTTTTGCTAATTCAGAGTACATTTGGCCCAATCAAAATCGAGTTTTATTTTGGGTCTCATATTTTGAAATTCAAGTTCAGTTCCGACCATGGAAGTCTGCGATGGATGTCACTTTAAGTATATGGAGCTGATTGCGAGTTTTTGGAAAAAAAAACGTAGAAATTATAGCATTTTTTCGATCGCATGGTGTTCTTTCAACCTCAGTAAAGTCTACTAAGAGCAAGACGGAATGTAAATATCGCAAAGACCAACATATGTGGCGTTGGGTAAGAATCCCAGAATGCAACGACGAACAAGAACTGGCCAATAAGGTGAGAAATAGTTGATTCCACTATATGGTGAGAGTCAGTTAGGTTAGGTTTTGGTTTTTCTAGTGTTTTTTTTCTATTTTTCAGTCGCTTAGCCACTTTTTTTTGAAAACGTCAAACGAAAAAAAAATCGCTAAAAAAAAACCCGGCTAATTTCCGCCAAAAATGAAGGTCATATTCGGTCTAAACACTCACAAATACACTACAAAAATATATTTTTTACTTGCTAAAAGTGAACGGTGTGACAATGCAAATTTACCGGTTATAATTATGGTTTTCTGATATTTTTTATGTTTTGAACGACTTCCAAATAGGTGCGTGACCGAAACGATAATTTTACCAAGGAAATATGTTCATAATGGAAGGCTTTTTTTTCTTACCTTAGAGTACAGTATTCAGTAAATTTTTACTTTTGGACAACATAGGAATGTTATGAATTTTATCTTTGCAATCAGTAGTTTAAACAATTCTATGGAGGCTCTGCCTCCATGGGCCCCTTGGCATATTTGTTGTTTCTGAGGGAAACGTAATAGAAGAAGTGTCTTAGAAATGTCGAATCTAACTATAATAGATACCAAATTCCTAAGATTTCTGTGTTGTCCGAAAGTAAAATAATACCCGGTACTGAATATTTGCAAAGGGGTGGAGGAATTGTAACTTATAATTTTGTTCTTCCTTAGTTCTTGTGAGTAAATATGTTCCATCACATGAGGATACCATTTTTGCACTTCATCTGTTAACAAATTCTTCCCAGTGACCAACCAAATGCTGAGGACCCGAATGACTTTGAGCAACCTTTCCATATGGTGCCTTATCTAACCAAATCTTCCAACCTAATGTAAATTAACTTACCAAACCTAATGTGAAATAATATCCTTCCTTTTTATGATAGCAGGTTTCGTTGGTTTATCATATCTACAACATATTATTAATGCAAACAAGTCAATATGGTGTTGCAGGAGGTATTGTGTTGACACAGATTTATGGTGAGGATGAAAAAATTGCCAAAGCAAAATTATTAAATTAGCAATTCCTCCACTATCATAGGTTATTTTAGAGGTAGAAAGAAGTTTTATTCTTTAGAAAATATCTTTAGAATTGCACCTTGCCATAAAGCAGTCTCCTAGGTTATTACTCAAAACTAACCCAACCTTAAAAATCATAGGAAAAAGGTGTATCACTTTATTACCCGATACAGTACTTACTATCATCCAAACAACATCTGTGGAAAATATGAACAAATTTCATAAATAATTCCTTTTACTAACTGTCTCTTCCACTATTACCAATGTTACCTAACTAAACAAAACTTAACCTAACCAAACAAAACCTAATTAAAAAAAAAAAAAAAAACCTAACCATGATGGTGGATTAAGCCCAGGAAAAATAACCTGGGTATTTTAAGTATAGATACTTGTCAGTATTTCTTAATACAGTATCCATTTGCACATTCTTTTATACAGTATATATATGCAGCTACAGTCCCTTTCACTAGTGCATTCACAGGGCCTCGTCATATAAACATTCCACAAATCATTATCTTTGATACATTTGTTTTACTATTTTTTAATTTGATCCCATTGTATGTTTACTATTAAGAGTTTCCTTCTGTCAAATGTAAACAAACACAAGGCTGCCACACTGCACAAAACCTGACGACCCCCTGTAAATGCATTAGTGAAGGGGACTGTACATGCATGTTATTTTTCCTGTGTATTTCTACATGCTAATTTTGTTATTGTGTGGGGCAGGCTTAAATCATATACAGAGTGAGTACTGTACAGTGTACTGTATACTGAATTCATAGTTACAGTACCTTAAGATTCACATTCCCAGGTAATGTCAGGGTGGTTAAATTACAGGTAGGGTATAGTCCAGTTTCCAAATGGTGCTTTCACCATGAAGTGTGTTTTGTGGTACATACAATGTGTTATTGTTGATTCCATTAGGTGATACCCTACTAATAACATATCTAATGATTGTCACCTGACACACACACACACACATATATACAGTACAGCTATATATATGCAAGTAAATCACTGTAGGTGCGAGTGATCCAGGTGTGTGTGTGTATATATATATATATATATATATATATATATATACAGTAGATGGTACAGGACAGAGTCAGGCCATCCTGTATCATCACATAATCACAAGCTCAAGACAACAGCATGTGCTGGTGAGTATAATGTATACAGTGCAGTAGTAGTATACATTATTTTGTTTATTTACAATATATTGTACGTTTACAGTGGTGTTTGCATAAATAAATACAGCTCTGTATCTGTCCCTGTCTGTACGAGATGCAGTAATGTCTGTCCATGCAAGTTGCATAGTTTAGACTCTCAGAAAACTTACCCCAGTACATGTACTGTACCCAGAAAAATTCCGGGATTTTTTCTGGGGATGAGAAATTGATCTCAATACTGTACCTGGAAATTTCTCATTCCCGGAAGAGTTCTGTACCAAATATTCCAGCTAACCGGGATATCACTTTTATATACTGTAATATCTTCAGATTTCACAGGTTGACACTTTGAACTGGAGGCCATAAAAGAACATTCCTCAAGGGTGCCAGAGTGACACCTGGCTGAAATGTAACCGGTGCAATATAACTGTTGAAAAACAACCTTAAAACTTTGTATGTACTCTACTCCAAAACACACTTTTAGCTATGGAAAATACACTAATAAGCTGTGGGGGGAGGGGGCTATTTCAGGTGACTACTGAGGTCCAACTTGACCACTTCATAACCTAAAGTTACTATACAAAAAGATACATGCTTCCTTATTACTCAATCAGATAGCAGTAGACCATGGCAGACCATAAAACAGATGATCATCCAGATGGGAATTATCCTTGTGGGATGATGCCAGACAATACTTTCCAGACTGATGTGCTACCTTTGTTGTGTGAGAATCCCTTGCCAGTTATTAATTGGCTTAAACAACATGGACTTCTAAAACATGAAATGCATTGTCAAAGTTGCCATAATCGGATGAACTGGACAAAACATTCTAGAAGTAAAGATGGCTTTGCATGGAAATGCCAGACCAGATACTGTAAGAAGTACAAATTCACAGCTACCATAAGAACTGGATCTTTTTTTTCTAAATCCCATGTGACACTTCAGAAATGGGTGCATGCAATATATCTGTGGAGTGAACGCGTCGGTGAAAGAACAGCAACCCGTCATGTGAATATTTCTGAGAAAACAATGATTGATTGCTATAGTTTTTTTCGGGAAGTGTGCTCAAAGCATTTTCAAGCAAATCCAATTCAACTCGGCGGTCTTGGGATTATTGTGGAAATAGAGGAATCTTGCTTTACTCAAAAACCAAAGCATCATCGTGGACAAGCACCACACACTCCTGTACCTCCTATATCTCCTGTATGGGTCTTCAGTATCACTGACACAAGCACCAAACCGACCACAGGGTACATGGAAGTAGTCCAGTCAAGAGATGCTGCTACTCTTCTTCCCATTATACAAGCAGTGATTCAGCCAGGATCCATTATTTACTGTGATGAGTGGAGGGCATACTGTAATCTCCAAGATCTCAGTGGTGACACAAACAAACCTGTTAACTCTTCAATCAACTTTGTGGATCCACATTGTGGTGCTCACACTCGAACAGTTGAGTCATATTGGAATAGGCATAAAAGTCACATCAAGACGATGCGTGGCTGCAAAAGAGACTTTATGAATTCTTACTTAACAGAATTTATGTGGCACGATCGTTATTCTGATAATGCTTTTGAAAATTTTTGTAAGCATATTGCTTTACAGTATCCAATGTAATAGTGTTATATGAACTTAATGTGCATACTTTTGTATTTTTGTAACATTACTTTAATGACTTATTGTACAGTACATGATTATTACAATATCCAATGAAATGTACTTTATTGTACTGTAATATTTAATGTAAATATTTAATAAAATTATTGTGCATTCTTTTGTATTTTTGTAACCAAAATATAAGTACTGTACTGTACTTTAACAACCTTATTGTGCATTCTTTTGTGTTAGGATGGTTAACCATCAGGTGGGATAAGCTGAGGTGCTTAATCATCATGATATCCGAATTTAATTAAGAAACAGCCAGAATATTCTTGCTGGTGTTTATAATGAAAAAATAAAAACCAGCCCATATAAGATATATGGCTGCTGAGATTCAATGTCACCAAGTGTATGAGGCTGCACCTGGGACGTACCAACAGTAAGGAGGCGTATCATATGTTCTAACAGGATGAAGAAACTGCATTAATTGAGGCTGAATGTGAAAAGGACCTAGGTGTGTATGTTGACAATGAACTGAAGTTCTTAGGCCATTGTGAAAAGAAGGTGAATCAGGAAAATAAATTATTAGGTCTTATAAGAAGGTCATTCAGATATCTAGACGGTCCGTCCCTCATAACGATCTTTAAGAGTGAGGTGCTTCCCCGTCTGGAGTACTGTCACCCCGTCTGGTCCCCGAGATATGCTAGGGACTGTCAGTTGATTGAAAATGTCCAAAGGAGAGCCACCAGGCTTGTGTCAGCACTTCGGCACCTCAGCTACCCTGAGAGATTAGAGCGCCTGCAATTGCCTAGCTTATACTACAGACGGGCAAGGGGGGACCTAATTGAGGTGTACAGTATAAGTATCTCAAAGGGCACTATTCAGTGAAGTGTCCTTACCTGGAGCTGGCGGACTCTCGCCCTACAAGGGTTCACAGCTTATTGTTGAAGCCGCTAGTCCAGAAAACTGAGGGGTAACTTTTCAGAGTGAGAGTTGTGAACTCTTGGAACAATCTGCCAGAAAACGTTGTGACGGCTCCGAGTGCGAGTTCTTTCAAAGCCAGACTTGACCAACACCGGAGCAGGTTCAGGTACATTCAGGAGCCAGTGCATGCCCAGTACTTACCAACAGTGCGTAACAGAGACGTGACCGATCGCCCAAGCGGCTAACGAACCAATCAGTAGTGAAAAGGATTATTAAAAAAAAAAGTACATGTACATTTCCTATATCCTAGATAACGTGAGTCACATTTCAATACTAGTAACCCAACCCCCGAAGGTCGCCAGAATCTTACTTATGCTAAATTGTAGATTTACCGGGTATCTGATATTGATAACAGTTGGGTAGGCTATCATTGGACATTGGCTAACATTGTCCTTGATTGTTGCTACACCAGTCCACTGTAGGCTCAACCTCTTAGGGTTACTGATGTTAAAATTTTGCATTACCATATTTGCATGAAAAATATACAATACAGGTATTTGTATTTTGATTCTTATTCTGAAATTTTTCTGTTGAACATTCATTGTTTTAATGATACAGTAATACAACATAGCTTTCTTTTTCATTGTAACTACTGTACAGTACTGTGTTCTGGAATCTTTATTTTAGAAAAATATTTTTGTTTTATATTTTGTAAATTAGTTTATGATTTTATATATTATACTTTAATTTTGTTCTGCATGTAATACATATAATAAGTGTCTTAATAATTATATTTTCCTCTTTACAAAATTAATGTAACACTTGATATGTGCAGAATTATTTTCGCTTATGGTAAATACACGCTGTGCTGTAGGCTGTGCATCTGTGTCTTCAGCAAGTAGGCTGTGGCCTCTGTGCATTCAACACCTAGCAAATTAAAACAAACTATCTGTTGGATAAGTGATGGTTTATTATAATTTGCTGAAGTGTGCTACTGTATAGGTATTTGTAGTCTCTGATCTATTTACTGATAGCCTCCATGATAAAAGCCATTTTGGGATTTGAAAATGGAAGTCAAAATTTCTGTTTTGCTAGTGGATTAACAAATTACCGGGTACTGTATATGAACATCTACAGTAATTTTCATATTTTATAAATAATATCCCAAAACAGCTATAGTTTATAGGCACCCTTATTGTAAACCTCTACCAAAACTTGTTCATTACCTCCAAATACAGACATGTCCATTGTTGGAAGAGAAATTACACATTAATGAAAATTTATGTGTCCCTTGGAAGGTTCACCATTATGTGAGCAGGGATATACTACATGTATTACGGAGGCTGAGGTACTGTATTATGCATTTCTTTTAAAGCAGATTAAATGAAATAACCAAATCCAACCTGATACATGCAGACGTACCTACCTTGAATAAAAAAAAAATAATCTAAGATCAAATACTTCCTGGAGAATAGAGAAAATGAATAAATCAAATATAATTCATTTTGTCTATTTTCCTGGAAGTGTTTGATTTGAGAAAATGCAATGTATAGTACAGTACTGCAGTTTATATTATTAAAACAAAACATTTTGTCTTATATTTAAAGCTAAATGTTCTTTTCATAATTCATTTCTCTTCTTTCAACAAGATAATGTACAGTACACTGTATCTGAATTTAGAGGTACTGTACTGTACTGTACTGTTTTATGAAAAAAAAGTTTATCAAAGTACTGTAGTAACAAAGCTGTATGCATAAAGTAAGCTATGTATTATTAGTTCAGTATATTTTACGTGTCTCACCACTGGATTTGCATTCTGTGCATTAAAACAAACACATCTCTAAAGAACCTGTCAGACAGTATCAAAATATAGTGGTGAAGCTGAACTTAACGTGTACTAATTATTGGGTATCTGTACAGTAAAGCTGAAATTTTAGAATATTTCATCGGTTTTACTGTATAAGAATCAGTGTTATAATGGTTGTGCATTGCCTTAATAGAAAATGAAACAATGTGCTACAAAATAATTTATGCTAAACGTGTAATACAGGGTAGAATGATGTTACCTGTACTATACTGTACTGTATTATAGTTAGATTTCATGTCTGGAATACAGATCCAATGGGGAAGTGAGAAAATATTAAATGTGATGAAATATCCACACGTACAGTAGTTCTTCACAGCCATCAGCATAGGATTTGTTAGTTCACCTTGTCTTATCAGGAGCGATTAGTTCTGTAGTCTCCAGCCTGATTATGAACAGATGATATTACTATATTACTGTACTCTAATAATCCCCATAGTGACAGTCTTATCAACAACAGTTCTGCAGCAAGGCAAAAGGCTAAACCAGTGATGATGACAAATGACAAGAATCAACTAAACTTAATTACTGTACAATATCATAGATTATTTATTTGTCAAGTTAGCTGCAGTTTGGTTTGGAATGAACTTTTAGTTTAACATTATCAATTTATATACAGTATTGATATTTGGGTAATGGTTTAGTGGAGTTCACGGCCTGGAGGGTGTTGGGGATCAGTGAGGCAGATGAAGGCAGAACATCGTTGAAGAAGAGGTTATGTATGATTGGTGGTGACAAGACTGGTGGCAGTCCAATTCTGGAGACTTCAGGGTATTCTGGAGGTCTTTATAAGATTCATGGACAGTAGTTCACACTGATATCCATGATGAAATTTTCAACATATTATATTTGTAATAGGAGTATCCTTGAGGTCATCATTGATGAGGAAGGAGAGATCTTATGGGAGTGCCCTGGTGGAGGCTGTGTGTGTGTGTGTGTGTGTGTGTGCGTGTGTTTGCTTTTGTACATATGTGTGTGTGTAAGGTGTAATCACAAGTCTGTAAAATCAGCTTAAACAGCAATTTAGACAGAATTTTAGGAAACTAATTTTTGTACTGTATATCCTGTACAGTAAATGGTGTTATGGGTGGGTGATGGTCATGTACGGTACCAAGATGGTTTCACTCCATTGATTTTTGGTAGTTATAGGTCTTTGTTATGTAATTACTTACAACAGACTGGATGTAAACTTTTTTCAGTTTGTTAAAACATCATTGAAATTTATTATGTTTGGAAATAATGTTGATAACTTACAGTATTTCAAAATCATAAATTTTGATTGTTGTATTTTCCTAGAATCAATATTTATTTTATGATCATAATGTATACTGTATACAGTACAGTGCTGTACAGGTATATGATTTAATAAACTTTTTTATGCCATTACAATATAAGTTATTATTTTTCCTTCCATTATGAAGAACAGAGAAGCAAAACAGTCCAATATGTATTATTTTTCAGCATCAGTGTTAGCTTATAGTTTAAGTGAATTAATTTGTTTTATTTTCAGGATATTATTTTTTTTCATTGAACTTGGTGGTGCAGCAGTAATGCACATATACTGTAACTTACTATTGTGTCCAGGCCTAGTGGCCCAATACAGGTGTGGGAATGGTGCTATCCAGTGTGACCCTCCCAAACATCACAGATTTTCACTGTGTACTGTACTCCGATTTCCTCCTGTAATAACACTGGTTAATCAAGTTCACAACAAAAAAATGACCAACTACCCAAATGACAAGTAAGCTGATAAGTGGTGAAATGATAAATAAAATACATTTTACTGCTGTCCTTTAAATTTGTGAAGCTTGCCAAAACGTGACTACTGTACAATACAGTACGTATCTTTATTTAATGTTCTTACTTGGCTCCTGAGCCCAGTAGTTGAGTAACAATTAACCTAATATGTATCATTTTGGCTTCAAAGTCCACCTAAAATTATCTTTTGAATAACCACTTTTTCCTCTAATCGTTCACCAGTTTTTGTCGTGTTTCTTCACTATTTGTAATAAGAGTAGTATCATCTGTATATTGAATATTTTATATTACTTTTACCATTCACTTTATTTTTTTCATTACTACAGTACTTACAACTTCTCTCATACAAAATCCTGAATAGACATTATACTGTTGTGTTGGAGAGAGCACACATCCTTGTCTACCGCCCTGTCTAGCCTTAAACCAAGTAGGCTTCAGGAACATAACCCGTACAGTACTGCACTAAAATATAGTACTGTATGTTCTGAAAGTTGGCTTTTTCACATTAAAAATATTTAAATCTTGTTATTTATTAAGATACTTTAATGATCTTAATTGACATCTAGATTAGGAAGTCCAGTAATGGCAAGCTACATTAGGTTAAGTTTGACCGCAAGCAGTGTGTGAT